AGATGATCGACAAAGTAGTCCGTGTGACATCAGTGGTTCAACTGTAAAGTTACGAAACTATCATGACGCGGCACTGATCCAGATCCGACGTAATGATGTCATCTCGCCGGATCTGGGTCTGCGCCGCCACACACTCGCGTCATGGTACTGTCGTGAACGCGCGTCCAAAGTCACGCAGTAGAGACGAAAATGTGGAATAAAGTCGTTATTTTTGTTTTCTTTACGCAAAAAAGTATTCTCTTAGCTTCGTAACTTTACAGTTAAACCACTGGTGTCACACGGACTACTTTGTCGATCATCTTGGTACTTTTCTGGACCTTGAACGTGGTAGTTACCTTGCTGTCTATGGGAGGGTCAGAGAGCCCTCAGATTTCATCAGAAATATCTTAAATTGTGTTCTGAAGATGAACAAAGGTCTTACGGGTTTCGAACAACACGAGGGTGAGTAATTAATGACAGAATTTTCATTTTTGGGTGAACTAACTCTTTAACATTCAAATTACCAAGAAAAAAATAAACGTTTCAACCGGATCCAGATAGCTTTCAGAAATATAGTTTTCGTAACTTAATGAGAAAGCTACTGTAGCAAAATGTTCTTAGAACATATTTTGTTAGCTGGGCGAATACCGAGATTGACTTCAAACATTTGTGTTTCTTTCTGTCTTTCTGTCCATGTGTTACTGTGTAATCATTTTTCTTGAGGTAATACACGTGATTATTTCACTTCTATTCTGTAAACTGTAGCTCTGTAAGTATCAGGAGTTAGAAAAACATAGACTGGCTTTCTACTCGGTCTTTTGCATTAGCTCTCCTCCTCCATCCTTGATTCATACAATTGTGTGTGTGAATGTGTTCTATTAATATGTTGTTGTTGCTGTTGTTGTGCTGCTCAGGAACAGACGAGAGGAGCAGGTCAAGAGAGGAGGATGAGGAGGAGCTCCAGAAACGCAGACAGGTTCAGGAGGAACATCTCAACAGGGTCTGGAGATGTCTGTTATTAAAAGAATGATGCAACCTGCTCAACAATGCAATTCAAAGACTAAAATGATTCTTGTTTCTGATTCCAGATCCAATCTGGTTTGGGGAAAATGATTCTTAAAGAGGAGATGGCGAAAGAGATGATCCGAGAGCGTCATGCACGGAGCCTGTCAGCACAGCGCTACGAACATGGAAGCAGTAATGCTCCTCAGTACAATAGATTGCATATTAGATGTTCATGTTCTAGGTCTGAGACTTTCTCCAGTCAGAAACAGGGCTGTGAGCCGTTCAGAATATAACTGAGAATTTACAATTCCAGCTGAATTCCTGCATTTCAATTGAGGCAGCAAATAGGATGCACAATTTGAATTTGAATTTAAAGGGGTAGTTCACCCCAAAATGAAACATTTGTCATCATTTACTCACACCTCATACAAACCTGCATGCATTTTGTTCTTCTGTGGAACACAAAAGAAGATATTTTGAAGAATGTTGGTAACAAAACGGCACTGACATCCATAAGATGGCCATAAAATACAGTGGAAGTCAGTGGGACTCGAAACTGTTCTATGAATACATTTCATTTTACATTTGCATAAATTGTTTGAATACAATCTTCTTCAAGATATCTTCTTTTGTATATCACAGAGAAGAAAGAAATGCATTAGGGGGAGTAAATAATGACAGGAGTTTCATTTTTGGGGGGACTATCCAGAATTAATTTAATTAAATACATATTAAATATGTATATTATATTTCAAAAATAATTGATATATATATATATATATATATATTATTTTTCAAATACTGTATATGAAATTATATTTCAAAATTTTTTTTAAAGTACATTAAAAATTTATAATGGTAACACTTTTACAATTACACAGATATGTGCATTATTTAACCCATTTTTTCATAGTAAATGTGTACTATGTTATTAAAATTGCAGATGGAAATTCACCCTCTAAAACAGGCTCACTGCCTGGATATGGGCGTAATGGACTACATCGGGTAAGATGCCTTTATTATTGTCGCTCAGTATTTAATATTACTTGTTAGTATATGATTAAAAGATATGTTATTGAACCCATTTTGTCTATTGTATATTTTGCTCCAGCCTCAGTCGACTGATTTCACTCAGTGTAACAGTTATGGAGACGTGTGTGGTGGGATGAGAGGTTAGTTTATTCATATTTCATTTAATTTAACTTTAATTACATACATTAATTTGTAATGAGAGCAACAGTAATCACATGTAGGCATATATATTGTGGGAGTAGTATAATGCATATAGATGATAAAGCATCGTTTTTAAAGTGTCCAATTTAATGTATGAATATAAAAATAAAAATCTTTTTTATTTTCTTTTTAACAGAGTTTCAGGTATGTAGATATGATTACCTGTTTAAATCACTCAAATGTGTTTCCATCTATCCTTATTGCACCCTTATTGTAACTAATATGTGAAATTCTTTAAAAATACATGTTCATACTCATTCATCATACATGATGTGAAATCATATTGAAAGATACAGCTGACTTCTCTTGAAAGTGTTCTCTCTCTGTTAATGATTTGTTTCTAGCCCATGCATGATGGCCACCGTACAGCCACCAGAATGGACAGAGGAGTGTCTATGCCTAATATGCTGGAACCAAAAGCAAGTGTAACATATTAAAGCAGCATATCATTATCTAGTGATGTTGTAGTTGCATAACAATAAGAAAGGGAGACCTCCTACCTTAGAAAAAACAAGATTAGGAAGAATATTCCAAAATGAAAAAGGGTTTGTTAAGCACTGTTTTAACCAATTTATCTTGAAAGTATTATTTAAATAAGTAAAATCTAGAAAGTTTAGACCACCACATTCATAATTATTAATAACCACAGACTTTTTAATATAATGCCTCTTATGCTTCCACAGAAAATCAAATAGCATTCTGTCAATATCTACACATGTAGATTTATCCACATATAAGGAGAGAGCAGGGTAAGTCATTCTTGAGATACCCTCAGCTTTAGATTGTTTTGTTTTGTTTGTTTGTTTTTTGGCTGTCCTAATGACATCATCCAACAGGAAGTGACGTTATTTTGGAGGGAATTATTCCACAAAACAAACATCAGTAAGTAAGCTCTTTGATGTTTTGTTTTACGTGTTACCTTTGTCTCACTCTAACATTTCATCTCATCTAATAAAATTTAAAGAGGGATAAAAATATAAGTTGTAAACAAACTGTTACTCCCTCACAGAGCAGTGACTGTTTATTGCCGTTCTGTCTGGCATGATGATATTTCCTTGCTAAGTTATTTCTGAATGTCTGGTTTGCCCTTTTACAATGATTCTTTAAATGCCAACAGAAGTATATAGATTTTTTTACATGTCCAAAGGTCCTGCATAGGCATGATTTTAATACTGCATTTCTCCACTAGAGGGCCACAGTGTCGCATTGTGTGTATTTGCTGGTGTCCATAAGAGCATAAAGCTCTGTCTTATAATAATCCTCTAGAATGATTATATCTCTTTGTCTCAGATCAGTGCAGCTGCCTATGACCTTTTGGCTTCAATCATTTGACCTTGATTTAAAAAAAAAAAAAGTTCAATTATAATATGCGTGAATGGATGGTAAATCACAACTCATAAAACTGCCATAAAGGTCAACAGAGACAATCAGGGAATCAGCAAATTAGTAACTAACTATAAATCTCTATTAATTAAATTGTGACATTCAAATTATGTATTTCTTAACCGTCCGATTTAACCTCACAGTCATAACATCACAATAGAGCTGTATTTGATCTTATGATGATGTTTCAGCAAACGGTCCAACCTATTACGGATATTTATCTTGGATTATATAGTGCAATATCACCAGCGAATGACGTGATTCATGCTAAAAGACGTTTAGCAGACAAAGCAATATGATTGGTGAAACTTAACAGCTTTCCAGAGCTCAAACATACATTTGTTTTCTGTCATTGTGGGGACTTTCCATTGACTTCAGTTGTTTTCATAATGAGCTAGTTATGTTTTCTATCCACTAACCCTGAGAGAAACCTTTTGAAATTGTCTTAGATGTTGTAGCACACTTTTAGCATGCAAATGTAAGCTGATTTCAGGTTACTTATACTTTTGTGGACACATGGGTTCTATAATGTAGCAAAATCTAGTGCAGAGACATTCTGTCTTGACGATGCTATTGACACTAGGTGCAGGTGAAACAGATGATAAGAGAGTGTGTGTGTGTGTGTGTTTGTGTGTGGTGCCAGA